TTACAGACCGATAGATGACAGATAAGACAGATGATAGATGGTAAAATAGACATTTTAAGCCATCTTAAATACTTACAGTCTCTGTCACACCTTGTGTCCAGTTTCTTTGTGTGCAATAAGTTACCTAGGAAAAGAAAAGAAAAGAAATAAGTAGCAAGAAAAACAGCCCTGAGTGAGCAGTGAGTGAAAGCTTGAAAGAAAATATAGGGAAGAAATGTATGTAAATTGTCTGCAGGAAACCTTATTTCTCTCTCCTTGTAGATTTTTAGCCTAACACGATTCGATTTCACACTAAACACAGTGGAGAGAGCCAAGACAAAGGGGGAGGGGGAGAGAATGAATTGTTGAATGTACATTCTAGAAAGAAAATAACGTCATTCTTTTCTGAACACAATCCTGTCAACTTTCCCTCCTCTGCAGGATAAATAAAAGCATTTTAAAAATAAAATAGTCACCATAAATTTTGATGTTGCAAAAATAAATCCCCCCAGATGCTTTGTGCAGTTTCAGCTTCTAAGGCATTTATTCTGAACCTAATTCTGCACTCTGTAAGAAAACGTTATGCATTACATCGCCAAATGGTTTTCTGTGGAGAAGAGAATATACTGCACTGTTGCGGGAGACCTGGGACCTCAGATATTGTCTCTCTTGAGAATACAAAGTCAGGCAAATGAAGTTTTGATCATACTTTCAGAATTAGAGTTTCCTTTTTAAAAAACAAAAATAAACATTTAAATAAATTTCAAGGATGCTGCTTGGCTATGTTTGGAGTTGTGACTTAAAAACTAGAAAGATTGCCGGGCGCTGGTGGCTCACGCCTGTAATCCTAGCTACTCAGGAGGCTGAGCTCTGAGGATCGCGGTTCAAAGCCAGCCCAGGCAGGAGAGACCGTGAGACTCCTATCTCCAATAAACCACCAGAAAACCGGAAGTGGCGCTGTAGCTCAAGTGGTAGAGCGCTCGCCTTCAGCTGAGCTGAAGGACAGCGCCCAGGCCCAGAGTTCAAGTCCCACGACCGACAAAAAAAAAAAAAAAAAAAAAAACTAGAAAGATTTCTAAATGAACCATGTTGAGGTTAGCTTTTTTGTAATTTAAAAAGTCATCAAGTTATAAATAGTAAACAAAACAAAGAAAAACATCAAAATATATTGGGTAAAAAAAAATATTTCAAGTTTGGGAGTTTGGGTGCCAGGAAATAGTCAGGAGCTAGGGCAAAACTGAAGGAACTTGAAAAAGAAAAAAGAAAAAAAGCAACGAAAAGATTGAGACATCGATGCCCTCTGGAGGTCGATTTGGGAAATGACACAAAGTGTTTCCCAAACCGGGAACAATGACTTTCCCAAAGAAAGGAGCGCGCACTAGGAAATGCAAACAAGGCTCCTGCGGTTTCATTCACCTTCCCTTCTTTGTGCCAAACCAGTTTTCAATGAATACTAGTTTCGAATTTCCATCTGGTTTTCAAATAGATGCAAACATTTGGGTAGGTGGGATTCAAAGCTGGCATTCAGTACCTGGCTTACACTCGCGGGGATCTAACTGTGGCTCCAAACAAATTACACAGCCCCACCCGTCCAGACGCCCAGAGGACGCCAGGCCAGCAAAGGCTCGGCCCCAGCTTTCCAGAGCACCTGCCCAGTGTGGCCTCTTTCCTTTGCAGTCTGTCTTTGGATATTTGATTCCAAATACACAGAGCTAAATTTCCACCCCCCACCCAGGGCAAGGGAATACATCGTTAAAATAACAAATTAAGCCTTTGTTGAGATTTTAGAAAGAAAAATTGATACAGGTGTGTGTGTGTGTGTGTGATGCGTAATAGAAGAGGAAACATGAGTGTGTGTGTGTGTGTGTGTGTGTGTGTGATGCGTAATAGAAGAGGAAACATGTGTGTGTGTGTGTGTGTGTGTGTGTGTGTGTGTGTGTGTGTGTGATGCGTAATAGAAGAGGAAACATGAGGGTGATTGCGGGAGGCTGATCAATCCCCAGAGTGGTCTGTTCAAACCCATCCAAGCAAACTGGGCGCCAGGGCTTCTATGCCTGTCATCCTAGAACATTCCTATCAAAAAGCCCCAAGTGAAGCTGGGCCTCAAAGCCATGAGGGGGGGGGGGAAACAAAATCTCAGGGACAGCTCCCAGGTCCTGAGTTCAAGCCCTAGTACCTGCGCGTGTGCGCGCGCGTGCAGGCAAAGGGAAACGAAGGAAGGATGAATGCCGGCTGTGTGTGCGGGTGCAGGTGCGGGTCGTTCGGTGTCTTTCTGCAGCCAAGTCAGATAGTAAAGGCACCCGGTCATCTGCTGCACCGGGTAGGCGGGAGTGAGGGAGAAGTCTGGGTGTCCAAGGTTGTGAAATCTGGTCTCCCTGGTGGCTAACCTGCAGTCTGTGGCCAGGAGAGACTTGAACAGAGGCGGCTCAGCAAGAAGCAGATCTTAGCTTCCCAAGGTCTACCCCCAAGGCAACTCCGCCCCCCTCCCCCCGCGTGGACCTGGGTCGCCCTGGCGAGCTCCTACGGGCCTCGGGGTCCTCTCCTCCCTGGGGCTCCCCGGAGAGGCCCAGAGATCTCCCAGAGACCAGAAATCTCAGGCACCCTGAAACTCACAGGTCCCATCCATGGTACTTGCTGGGTTCCCCCCAGGTGTCAAAGCGAACACGAAGACCGAGTGGGCAGGGCGGAGGTCTGCGAACAGAACAGCCGCCCTCTGTTTCTGCTCCAGGGCCCGGCGCCCCTGGGCTAACCTGTGCCCCACCTGCGCGTCCGCTCCTGGACCGCTGCACCTCCGCCACAGCGCCGACAGAGGGCGCCCACGGCCAGACTCGCCACCTGTAACCCTGCAGGCCTGGGCCTTGAGTTCTTTAAGGAATCCCAAGGCCTGGGATGGGTGCGTGGTCTGATGGGCAGGGGGTCTGGGCTGCAGCCAGAGGGGCCGAGTCGCCTTCCTGAGCCTAGGGCGCCTCTGATACTAATGCGGGAGGCACAGTGGTTCCATCCGTGGCTTTCTTCATTCCTTCACGCCTGTGCTTTGTAACTGAGTGTCCATGTGGACATGAACTCTATTAACCAGGCGTTGCTTCCTGCCCCGGGTCCCCAGAGCCCGCCCAGCTTTCTTCGTATTGATAGCTAAATAGGAGTGAGATGAATGAAGGATGAGATTCAAGGACCGCCTAACTCTGGGCCCAGGGGAGAGGGGAAGGGAAGCAAGAGAAGCAACTCCGCCACCAGGGAGGCGAACACCACCAGGGTTGTTTGCCTGCCTTGGGTGAACCCTGCAGGTAACTTTCCTCCCGGGAAGGGCCTTGCAAGCGTGAGGACTGAATGAATACAAATGGAGCATCTCAGTCAGCTAAAAGAGGGCCTGCTCAGGGGTCTCCCTTCAATCCAGGCCTTCCTCGTTTAAAGCTTCCAGTGACTCATTCCTGTAATCTCAGCTACCCAGAAAGCTGCGATCTGGGGATCAGGCAGCTCAAAGCCAGACTGGGCAGGAAAGTCTGTGAGACTCTTATTGTCAGTTAGCCACTGATAATGAACACATGGATCTGGGGTTTAAGTGGTGGAACTTCAACCTTGAGGGGAAAAAAAGCTAAGGTGTGAACATAGCCCAGACCCTGAGTTCAAGTCTAATAAATGGAAAGACAAAAAAACAATCCAACAACAAAAACAACTTTCCAATGAAGGTAGTGTTCCCTAACCCCCCCCCATTTCTAGGGATATGTTAGGGGGTTCCCACTGGCTTCATAGCCCTTAAAACTTCTCTCTCAAGAGTTCTCTCTCAAAGGAGCCGAACAGAAATGACCATGTAACACAACTGTCTATAGAAACAGATGGAAATGTACTTCTCAATTTTCTCTGTAGTTACCTTAAGGTCTTAACGCTTCTGACAGCATGTATACAGCATCTATAGAGCAATAGTGTTTCCTTTCCTCACCCAGCTCAGGCTGGATTTCTTTGTCTTTCAGATGAATTTTAGAAAGATTAGTCTGCCTTCCTATGAAGCAAGTTACTAACAGATTTAGCATCTTAAAGCAGCACGCTTTTTTGGTTTCGAGTTTGTGGATCAGGTGTCCTGACGCGGACCTCTGCCCAGGGCCTCACAGAGCTGTGGTAAACGTGTTCTCTGGCCGCATCTGCATCTGGAAAGATGCCTTTGCCCTTTCCAGAACCCTCGGGCTACTAGAGGAATTCTTTGTTGTTGTTGTTGTTTTGTTTGCTGCTCTGGGCACTGTCACTGAGCTTCTTTGGCTCTAGGCTAGCTGGTGCTCTACCACTTGAGCCACAGCACCTCTTTAGAGTACTCTAATGGACTTTTCTGCCTGGGCTGGTTTTGAACCATGATCCTCAGACTTCAGTTCCCTGATTAGCTAGGATGACAGGCGTGAGCCACCAGTACCTGGCAAGAATTCAATCTCATGGTTGTCTGACCAAGGTCCTGTTGTCTTGCTAGCTGTTGACCAAGAGTCACTCTCGGTATCCAGGGGACACTCTCTGGTCCACTAAGTGGTGCCTTCCATAGATCCTCTCATACTTCCACCCTCTCTTTCAAAACTCATCTGGATTAGGTCGGGCCTGCCCAGATGTTTCCAGATGTTGGTCAATTCAAAGTATTTAAGTCTTGAAAATGATACCCCACTGGATCCACCAGGGAAAGGTTGAGCTGTCTTCGTCAGTTTGGACTGCTATAACCAATACCAGAACTGGATGACAGGAGCAAAAGTGTCTCTCACAGTTCTGAAGGTAGGTGGGAGCTGTTTGGGCTCCTGTTGAGGGCAGAGGGTCACCTTATCCCCACCTGATGGAAGAAAAGTTCATCTCTCTTACAGCTCTTCTTAGCAGGGCACTAATCCCATTCGTAAGCACTCTCCCTCCATGAACCGGTCACTTTCCAGGGCACTACCGCTGACGCCATCTCTCCATCACCCCTCCTCATCTCGGGGTGAATGCAAGCAAAGGCCATCAATGGAATTCAAAGAATGAGGGTGTTTTTAGTGAGTGCAGTGGAGGAGGGGGTCTCTGACATGGTAGCAAAGGACATCAGTTGAAGTATCAGGAGGGCACACCTGGGGCCAGGGCCTGCCCCTGCCATGCTTATTTCATGACCCTTTATTAAGACCTAGTACTGAATGTCCACTTCTGCTTCTGTAAAACAAACAAAAAAATAGTAAGATTTTCCCCCATGGTCTCCAGAAGCACTGAGAGATGTTCATGTGCCATACTTACCACAGCACCTGCATGCAAAGGGGAAGACAGCGGGGAGAAATCAAGCCCACTCAGTATGCTTAGGGGAGGAGTTGCTGCTTCTTGGTGGCATCTACTGAGTGGCACGTGGATGTAGGTTTACAGATTCCCACGAACTCCCCAGTGTGTGCTCCAGACACGCAGCTTGGAGTTGGAAAGACAAGGTCAAGCAGCCTGTGAGCACTTTGACATTCACAGAGAGAAAGGCTCTAAGTACAACACAAGTCTGTGAATGTGAGGTCTCCCCCAGCATCCTAGCCAAGACAGGGTGCTGCTCACCTCCATAACTCTTGCCCGATGCAGGACCCTCCTCCTGATGAGCAGATCTAAGGTACCTCAACTAGCACATGGAAAATCTGTCCGCAAGGCCCCTCTTTCAACGATACCAAGGAAAGATCAAATTGGATCGCTTAGAGGACCTAACGGGAGCACAGTGAGCAGCAGCACTGGTGTTAAGTCCTGCTTCTAGGACAGCACCACACGTCCTGGCTATGAGACACAAAAGTCTGTCATCCTCAGCTGCAGAGGGTCGAAGTCTAAACCGGTTTCGCTGGGCTGGAATCAAGGCCTAAGCAGGAACACACTTCTTCGCTAGCTCTGCAGAGGAATCCATTTCTTGGCCTTTTCTAGTGCTTTGCGGTGGCACTCAGCTCACAGTCCCACATCACGCCAGCTTCCTGACTTCCTACCTTCTACTCAGACCCTCCAGCTTACATTAGGCCCACCTGAATGACCTGGGACACTGTTTGTTAGCTCAAGATCCCTGACTTAATCTGCAAAGTCCCTTTTGCCAGGGAGAAAACCTAGTCGCTGGTTTCAGGGCTTAGGATACAGACATTTCAGGCCCTAACTATTTTGCAGAGTCCCTATTTCCCAGTCAGATAGCTGTGAGTCTCTCCCCCTTCCCAAAATGATTGAGGAAAACAAAAAACCAAAACAAAACTCATCTCCAGCAACTTCCCTCACCTACCTTACGAGATTAAACGCATTCTTAACGAAGTGTTGTTGAACTCTAAGTATGATTGTACCAGCTGCTACAGGTCATGGATAGAACATGTTTTGTAAGATTTGAAAACAGATCCTGTTCTTTAACAGTACTCTTGCAATGGTTCCTTCAATGTTTGCAAACATCTGTGAACATGATCACAAGCCCCTCTGTTCCTCTACCCTCCTTTCCAACTGTTCTCTAAATTGACTTGATACTGCATTTTTTTTTTGACAGTTCAGTGACAGGCACAAATGACTTTGCTGTTGCCATGGTAACCATGGCATCTGCAAACAGAGGGGAAAAATCAGGATTAAAATGAGAGGAGGAGGGAATCATTCAAATTGGGATTAATGAGTCTGCCCAAGTGAAACTGGGTGCTCACTTGCCATGTTTTAGGGGTGTCTCCATGAGAACCTCTTGGTCAGACAGCCAGGCAGCAGCAGAAGACAGCGAAATGAGTGAGAATGTCTGCTTCCTGCAAGGAGCAGTGTCTGAAAGTTTACAGAGCCTTCCACTGTCCCTTCCTTCCGCGTCTCTCCTATTTGGATTGCCTCCTTTGTTTCCATCTCCCCCTGCTCTTCCTCTTCTGAACACATTAGTTACTATGGAAACATTGGTGTGAATGTCAGAAGGCTCAGCTCAGAAATGCTTCATAAAGTCAATTTATAGACTGATCTGACATTTATCTCATGTTTGGGAAATTTAAAGAATTTGTGATATTCATGACCACAGACAGGGGTGGGTGATAAACACAGCTATCCATAGATTTGAAACTTTGTTTTAGAGACAGTGAAAAAAAAAAGTGGGTTTTGTTTTTGAGTGGAAGAATAGCAACTAAAACAGGAATCTGGTTTGGGATTTAAAATTGGATTCATTCTCCCTCAGTTCAGGAATGCGCTCCACCTTCTAAGTTTATAACGTGGACTAGCATCCCTTGGGTCAAAAAAAAAAAATGAGGGGGAGTGATAGCTAGCTTCTTAAAAAAATAAACAAGAAAACTTTAAACTGGTAATAAGACCAATGTTTTCTAAAATAACATCCATAGGGCAATAGGACACAGAGATGGTAATGCCATATTATCAGGATAAATTTTCAAAGTTACAGAATAATAGGTAATGATCCAAGCACACATATTAGGTATGAGGCCTCTCTTTCTTCTTCCCTACCCCATTTATGTATTTATTTCTCTTTTTTAATATGTATTTTTATTGTAAAGAACACTGTACAGAGGGGTTACAGTTACATGAAGGAGGTAATGAGTACATTTCCTATCCAGCATTGCTACCCCCTCCTTTGTTTTTCCCCTACCATCCCTTGCCTCCACACCTCCCCAACTCCTCCCTCCCCCCACAAAGTTGTAAAGTTCGTTTTCAACATAGTGTCTTGTACATCTCATTGTTACAATGGATCAATCTTTATTTCTCTTTTTGGTGGCAGTGGAGCTTGAACTCAAAATCGCACACTTGCCAACTGCACTTGAGCCAAGATTCCAGTCTTTCAGGCCCCATTCTCAGTCCTTTGTATGCATAAAAATCCACGTGATCCTCATGACCGACAGGTGAGGTAGGTCCAATCATTATAATCATTTTACCCTGAGGCACAGATACTAAATAAGCATCAGAAGCAAATTTCAGACCAAAGCAATCTAGCTACAAGACCTATTCTCTAGCAACAAGCACAGGTGCTTCTCTACAACAAAGCAAAATGTTACAGATAACATAGCCAGATAGAGAGCTTTGAGTTATCAGTTCTAGACTGAAAACAGCCTGGAGAAGGACATCTAGTATTGTGTCTCTGAAGACACCATCCAAACACCTTGTGAAGGCACCACTGAAGGTACCATGGGTTTCCAGTGCTTGCAGTGATGAAAAGTACAGTTGAAATCTGCCCTCAGACTCTTACACATTTTATCATTTGTAACAGAGTAAAAACATTTTAATATGTGATCAGTAGCAAAGCTACAAGTGGCTGAGAAAGTCTTGAAACCCACTCCGCTGTACCCCGCCAGAAATTTAATTACAAAGAAAAGCCAAGGTCAATTTGCAAGGCAGTATTTGTTCTGTACTGGTCCTGTTTTCTAATTTCTCTGCCAACAGGTCACTTTGGGAGAGGTTGTTTGCTTGTTTGCTTTGTGTTGTTTGTCTTGAGGAAGCCAGACCAGCTCAGTGTGTGTGATTGACCTACCTGAGCCCAGGATCAGTCAAATATCTCAAAGTCAAAGCCAATCAGAATGTCTCATCCCGCTGGCTCCAGTGACTGGTTCAGAGATAGTAGTTCACCTATTCAAAGCCAATGAAAAACCTACCACTGGACTCAAAGCAGAAACTGACACCTTGAGCACAAAGATAATGTAAGAGACTATATAAAGCCCAGCCAAACAACATTACTGAGCCCTAAGAGTCTAAAATCTGTCCATGAAACCTTCCAATTATTGAGTTAATGTCACTTTCTATTCTTCATCTTCCTTTTCTCTCTCCTCTCTCTCTCTTTCCCCCCTCCCCATCTTTTTTTTCTTTTTCCTCCTTCCTTTTTCCTCCTTATCTACCCCACCCTTTCTCCTCCGCTTTCTTCATTTTTTCCCTAATCAAAACACATTTTATCTGGGCTACAACAAACAGAAAAGGGTCAATTGGACTCAACATGAAGTAATACCCAGCATGTGTATTTGGAGAGCACCAGATCTTGTTCTCCTTGTTCGAAAACAGGTAAACAAGCCTTAGCACACATTCCAAAGTGCATATACCTCTAGACACCAAAAGTCTCTTAGCAACTCATTTGGTAACAAAACAGATATGGCCTTCCTAGACACAAAGCCACACACAGTGTTTACTTACCCCACCTACTGTCCATATTCCTATATTTTCCTGTGAAACAATCTCTGTCATTACAGGATGCTACACAGTCTTTCCCAAGAGTGTACTATAGCCAAGAGAAACAAAAAACTGATATATTTTAAAGCCCCACACAAAAGGTTTTAGATAGAAGACTGTGGACTTGCAGCTACATTGAAACTGAATGCATAAATGGATTTAATCAATAAGCTTCTAATCTTTCAGTAGCTAATGACATTATCATGAGCCACAAAATGAGAACATCTCCCCTACCAAAATCATACTGACAGCAAATTTACATTTACATGTCAGATCAAACACTACTTTCATAAACACCCAAAGTGAAAATCACTACATTTAGGACCAAAAAAAAGCAAAAGGAACCATGAGTATGGGAAACCAGCAAGGAAGAGCTACTAGAACAGAGAATCTACTGCCTGTCTGTGAAGTCACATCACATTCTACTGACTGAACACTAACTCTCAATGTGACAGGATTGCAATGCTGAGTGCTCTTGAAACTGGAATTCCATGTCCAGTGGGGGTTTATTCTAAGCCCACCTCCCTGAGTTCTCATATTAAACAGAGGCATTCAATGTCCTTTACATTTTAGTTATCTCTCCAGCAAAGAGAACTACCATACAATGCAATATCAGAAAGAATATTGGTAATTAATCCCAAATCATGCCAAAGTAGTAAACTTTGGGGTCATGAGCTATCATTTTTCTTTCTCTTATTTAGAATAGTAGTCAGTATGCATCTACTTAATTGATAAGTGGAATAAATGCCACATTGGAATACCTCTGCCATCTGACAACACCAACATATCAATGGGACAACTTCCTAAAAGAGAAAAAAGTACTAAAGAAAAACCCTGAGTTGGTGACTCCACTGATGCTTTAAAAGGCCCCCTGGCCTCCAATCAGCTATAGAAAAATAAATTGAGATTACCCTAGAGGTGCTTTTTAGTCCTTTTTTGAAAGAATAATTTGTCTGCACACGCAGAACAGGTAAAGGTGAGCAGGAAGAAGTGAGTGTGAATTATTTAAGCCACAGACTATCAAGATAGATTGATTCCAGAATTTGTAGACTTACTTGAAACTTGAAAGAAAAATAGAAAACAGAAATGAACTATGTGCCAACTATCATACTATACAAGAAATGGTACAAGCCTAAAAAAATTGTCTAACTTGAAATAGCCTGTAGGATAGTTGAAAACAGTTGAGTCCTGTCTCCCAGTTAATAAACTTTCAATGTCTACCAACTGTAAAAGCCCAGCTGGCTCCAAGTTCTCTCTCTCTGGCCAAACCCAGCACGCTGCCAAATTGCTCTACCTCTGTAGCATTTGCCCAAGTCCAGCCTATCTTTTCCACAAGACTAGTTCTTAACTGCCTCTCCTTCATTCCAGTTTCTCCTCCAATCTTCCTTGCACACAATTGCCAGGTTAATTTTTCTGAGGAGAAGCTTTCATTCCTATCATTCTGTTTCAAAACCTGTTTCCCATTACCCACAGCAGCATTTCAGAAACTTCAACTGGATGGAAGCACATTTTGCTATCTTCACACTTCCCTCCGTGTGTGTGTGTGTGTGTGTGTGTGTGTGTGAGAGAGAGAGAGAGAGAGAGAGAGAGAGTGTAATTTACTAAGGATTGAATCCAAGTCTTTGCACATACCATGCAAGCATGCTACTACCCAAGCTATGCCCTTTTATTTTGTTAATTTTGTTATGTAAGAGTCTAACTTTGCCTGGCTGAGTCTTAAATTGCAGTCCTTCTAACTCAGCCTCCCTAGCATTGGGATCATAAGCATGTATCACCATGGTCAGCCACACAGCCCTTTTTGAAAGTTCAGAATGAATGCACTGTCATCTACCTGTCTTTTGCAAAGTTAAAATTCCTTAAACTTTGGTCAACCCAGACCCTCCACTTTTTCCCCCATCCCCTTTTACGTGACAATGAATCTCAGTTGTCTTTTTTTAAGTTGTGGTAAAATAAACATAAAATAAAATTTACCATTGTAAAGTGCACATTGAATACATCCATAATGTTATACAACTGTCATTCTCTAATTCAAGTATTTTATCATTAACCCAAACCAGCAAAAATGTCAAGTGCCCTTGGTCATTAGCTACAGAGAAAACTCTGCTAACTACTTTGGAATCCTTCCCCAGTCAAGACTCCAAATGAGAACACAGTCCTGGCCCACAACCTTTGATGACACTCCTTTGAGACTTTGCACAGAAGACTCAGTAAAGCCATCCCAGACTCTTGAGCTATAGAAACTCTACAATGACAAATGTAAATGGGTTGAAGCTACTAAGTTTTGGGTAATTGTTTATACAGAAACAGAAAATGAATATAGCTTGGAGTTATTATTGTTATTGTCAGGTATTTTTTATGTTTTTGCCCAAATGACTTAAATATCATTGGAGTGACAGAATACAGTAATTAGAACAAAATGTAAATGTGTTTCTAACCAATTCACCAATCATGTAAAGTGACAACAGCCTGCTTCATGTTGACGTGCTCTACTGCACAGTAGAACAGGTAACTCTTCTATTGGTTGCTGAGATTCTTATTCTTCACAGTTTCTTTGGCTTTTAATGAACCAGTTGCTCTCAGATAAAGGAAAACACTGTTGCAGAATGTATCAGCTTTGAGGATCAGAATGCAGCCATAAAGAAACAAATAGGAAGAGCACATTAACTGCACAGCACACAATCGCACAGAAAATACTCAACTGCTTATTGTTTTTTCCGCACTGTATTCCTCTGCTGTTTGAGTCAGTATCTTCTCATATGAATGATTTCATAAAAAGAGTTGATGATCTGGCATGAAATCAGTCATTGCTTTGACTGATATAGCCAATTTATACATAATAAATACAGAGATGGAATTGAGAGCCTCTATGATCATTTAAAAATGAAAATATTATGCTTCAAGTTATACTGTTCATCTTGATTATAAAATAAATTTACAAGTGTGAGTGTGTGAGGCATATTAGTTAGATGATAAACACGTAATTTAAAAATATAAATGAAACTTTCTTTTCATCTAACTAATATGCTTCATACACATATACCATTTAAGTAGCTAACTCACCATCTATATAAAAACCTAGCAAAGATAATTAGCAATTTTTATATTGCTCACAGAAAATAGAATTCAAAATGAAATAAAGTACAGAGGAAAGAAATGCAACAGTGTATGACATAAAACTAATTCTCTGAGCATGGTACCATCGACCTCCAAAATAAAAAAGACAAGACAGTGATTCAAAAATAATTGGAAACAAATGAGATCTGTGCTTTTGTAAAGGGAAAGAAGGCTCAGCAAATGTGGGAAGTCACCACATTTATGGCTAAAATGCTGAAAATGAAGGTTTTGGGGGTTTTTCGGAGATGTCCAATCAGTAAAACCACCTAATATTTAACTAGTACTTTCTAAATTCCAGTTTGAATCCATTAATTTTAAGGCAAATTTTCATATTTTGCTTTTGGAACTTTCACTCCAAATCTTTAGATAGTTTGGACCCTACCCATTTCTTGTGCATACTACTAAACAATTTCCCAAATGCCACCACTGGCTTACTCCTTTCAGACCCGTTCTCCTCTCTGTGGTCATGGTGGTAGGAGTCGTCTTTCTTTTAATTGATTGTATCACATCCCTGCTTTAAACCCTTGGACTGGTTCTTCTTTGTCCTTAGAAGAAAACATTAGTGCCCTGGAATGCAAGGCCATTGGTGCTCTGACATAACTCACACATAGTTTCTCCCAAACTGGTTTCTGCAGGTTTTGGTTACACTATTTCAAGTCTCTTATCAAGAGGCACCTTCATCTTCCTCTTCCTTTTCACCAGGCCTATTTCTACTCATCCTTAACCCTCAGCACAGGACTTCCAGCTCCTATTTTCCCTCCTAGGACCTGCAATCCTTCTTAGGTTCCACTCTACCTCTTTGAGTTATAACTATGGTCCCCCTTTGCTGCCTCCATGACTTCCTGAATGTATTTCCATCCCCTGGCTCTTAGTATATTATTATTATTCCATTTTATATCTTCCTTTCCTGTCCACTGTGTTTGCTCTCAAGTATGATCTTAGTGTGTAGAACAAAGCAGGCAACTACTGTTCACCGAATGAATAAAGAATGAATGATTAAAAATGAAGACAAAGGATCAAAAGTGAGTTTTGTCAGAAGGAAGAGCTCTACTGAGTCACAGCTTGAGTCTTCTGGGCATGTTGCCTTGGTAGACTATCTACCAGTAACCCTGTGAGAAAACAAAGCCAGCCTTCCAGATCTAGGGTATCTTACAGACCCATCAGAATCACCTCATACCCACATTCAGAGAACAAGCAACTTGAAACAATTGTCGGGTGTATCTGCCTAACAAAGGTGAAGATGGCAACCAGCTATACAGGTCTGCATGCTCTGACAGGGAGGGCAGCGATAGTCAACATTTCTTTTCATAGATTATAAACAAACATATTCTAGGCTGGCCTAGAATTTGAAATCCTCCACTTCAGCTTCCAAAAGCTAGATCCCAGTGTGTGCCACTGTGCCTGGCAAAGATTCCTCTGCCTACAAGGCTAAGTCTAAGCCCCTACCCATATCACACAAAGATCTCCCTGCCTGGTCCACCTTCCTCCCCAGTGGTCTCTGCACAAGCTCCTTTTGTGGACCCTATTCCAGCTGTTCCCTGCTATGAAATGTAGCCAATTCCATTCTCCCTTGAAGTCGATAATTTTGTTAATGAAAGAGAATTCAATGACTATTGCATTATTTAAATATCCAGACATTCTTCAGTTTCATTTGGCAGATACAACTTCAGCGTGATGCTCATTTTTAAATGAGAAAGAAAATGTTTTATTTTTCTTGCATTCAACTAATAAAGGAGGTGTCTTTTGACATAAGATGTTCTTCAAATAAGTTTTGAAAAGTTTGATTTGAATATAAAATGAAGCTGGTTGTCTGGCTGTCAGATTTAACTTGAATAGACCCCACAATATCTACATCAAGGACATGTCAACTATCTCCAACCATTATTGTCCTTTTTCTATGTTCATAAATCTATCTTAACATTATAAAATCTGTTATTTGACATGTGTGAAGAAGGAAGAATTATGGCTAATCAAGTTTGTTGTGAATATCATAGATACCACACAAATCTACAACTCCTACATGTATTCAACATTACTGAACAACTGATAAAATTAGATACATGGAGGAGACATTAAACTTCTGTGGAGGTCAAAGCATCACCCTTGACATTGTAGATATAAACCTGGACACAAACCATCCTTATCCTATAACAAGTATAGTCCTGGTAGGAAATGAGTTTAGGGGTACAAAGAAGAGACTCTAATTCCTTTAGATCAAGAAAGAAATATGTTGGAAAAAGTGGTATGTAAGAAATACTGTGGATGTTTTATGGAGTTTGACAGGAAACAGTGAGGTGATAGCCCAGAGCCATGAAAAGACTCAGAGCCTGTGACAGGCCTACCAGGTACAGAGTATGTGGAAAAGAAATATGACAGCAAGGAAGGGGACCATGATGCCATATGGAAAGATTAGGGCCCTTTCCTTAAAAGCATAGTATTTCAATTTTTGTGAGGACAGCCCTCGTGGGAGTATACACGATGCACAGGAAGGAACAGATGAAAATAGAATGGCTTTCAAAAATCCCAGTAAGAAGCCAGGTTCCAGTTGCTCAGGAATATGGTAGAGATGAAAGACTGTAGACATTAATGCAATAGACTACAAGTCTGCACTCTAGGCCATAGTTACTTAGTTACTTACGTTCTTCCTCTCCACAACCCATTTCCACCTCCATTCAGTATTTCACAACATCACATTAGACTCGAATTTTAGATTTTTCTTTATCTACATGAGGTAATAGTTTCTTATCTACATTATGTAATAGGTTCCTCACTGTAATGGAGTAATTGCCCTTTGTTCCCTTTTTTGTGTATGAGGGATTGAACTCAGGGCCTCAACCTTACTTGGCAAGAGCTTAGCCCCTTGAGCCCCGTATCTAGACCTTGACTTTTAATTTGATCTAGGGTAGGGCAGGATGGGATAGCACTCTTAATTTTTCCCCAGCTGGCCTCCAACTGCAATCCTCCTAATCTTTGCCTCCCAAGTAGCTGGCATACACCACCTTATCTAACTTGATTTTGAGAAATGGTCTCACTGACTTTTGCCTAGGCTAACCTTAAGCTGAGATCCTTCGGTCACTACCTTCTTAGTTCCTGAGATTACAGAAATAATCTTAGTTAAAAATAGGAAATATAAAGCAATTCTAAAATCCCGCTGGCAAATGTTGAATGGGAATTACTACATGTTTTGTTTTGAGACATGATCTTCCTAGGTAGTTCAGGCTGGCATTGAACTCATAATCTTTTGCCTCAGTCTGAGTATTTCACCTTCCTTTTCTTCCTCTTCCCCTCATTCTCTTCCTTTTTGAGATACCCTCTGGGTTTCTATTCCATTATCTTTATGCAAAGCACTGGCTGCTTTTCATTTATGATCATCTCTTTTGAAAGAAGTTCCTTTCCACAATGTTTCTTTGTTCCTTCCCTAGTCATACTGCTACATTTTAAAAAAATGTCCAGTCTGCATCAAGTCCATGAAGAGCTAATGATCTACAAGGTATATTTTGCCTGTGAAATTTTCTAATTCTATCCATGGACAAGAAACCAAGGAGAATCCCTGCTTTGAGAGGGAACTCAAAAGAGGTTTTTAGCACTTCTGGGAGATAGAGACAAAATTGAAGACTCAAAGAAAAACAGACTAGCTTTTCATTAAGACAGTTCTCAGAGTTTGAAGGTGAAAAAATACCTGAAATACACAAGTTTTCTGCAGCTGATGATACTGAGAAGATAAAGATGTGTCGAATCCTCGGAGCATTTTGTTGACATTTCTTGGAGGGCTACAAGAGAGTAAGATGAACCAAAGGTCCAAGGGTCCTCAGGAAATTGACAGCTCCGCCTTGACTCACCATTTTCCTTGGTTAGATCAAGGTCTGTCCACATGCTCTGGCCAATTCAATCTGGAGAAATATATTCATCAGAAGCTTCTGATTTTATGTTCATGTTGCACTGAGTTTCTATTAATAAGTATAACCTTGGTAACCAAATTGGAAAGGTTATTCTAAAAAGAAAAAAAGGAAAAGTAATTCTAAACACTAGCAATGAAAGTCCAAGATAATAAGATTTATTCAGAATGTAAGGATGATTGTGTAAAAATGAATACAAATCTCTAAATAGATTTGAAAAAGAAAGATCTCAACAAGTGAGGAAAATCAACTGATAAAATTCAGTGTCCATTCATATTTGTAACTTTTGTGCCTTCTATACATTTTTCAATAAAGAAGTATGTTACATTCGCCTACAAAATCATGAACTTTGACCTTTTCTTTTGTTGAGTCTACAAAACTTGTTTTATATATTTCAAGGCTATTAGGTGGATGAAACTTTCAAGCTTTTATGTATTCCTGGTGAGTTGAACTTTATAACATTGTGAAATATCTTATCTCCAGCTATGTTTTTTGCTTTAAAATCTAGTTTGTTATTGGGATCACCTTTTTGCTACTTTTTGTATTGTGTATCTTTTCCTTTTTTCATTCTATAGCCTAATATTTAAAAATGTGTATCTTGTCATTATAACTACTTAGTTCTTAAAATCTTGTCTGCCAATTTTTTTAAAATTGGAATATATATTCTGATTGCCTGTAAATTTGGGTTTGAACATACTACCATATTATTTCCTATTTGTAGTAACTATTTCTTTGTTTTTAAATATATTTTAGCATAATTAAAAGTGAACTAGTAGTCATAGATTTATAGTTCAAATTTTACAAAATGAGCATACACATCCATATTCCAACTTTTTTTTTTTTAAGACAGTCATGGGGCCTGAACTCTGGGCCTGGGCACTGTCCCTCAGCTCTTCAGCTCAAGGCTAGTGCCCTACCAATTGAGCCAAAGCGCTACTTCTGGCTTTTTCTGCTTATGTGGTGCTGAAGAATACAACCCAGGGCCTCATGCATGCAAGGCAAGCACTCTACCACTGAGCCACCTTCCCAACCCCCCATATGCCAATTTTAAATGAAAAACATAAACTAGTATTCTATTCAGTATGTACGTGGATTAACAAGATTCAAGGTGATAAGTCACTTCATATTTATATTTACTATAATTATGGATGTTTTGTCTACTTTGGGATGTTTCCTGGTTAAATTTTTTCACTCTTGCCAAATTGTTATTAAAACCTTTATCTTTCTCTTTAGATAAAAATTATTTGACTACAATGAGCTTTGAGCTCAAGGCTGGTACTTGCTCCAGCCCTTCCTTGTGTTAATTTGAGATAGGATCTTGCTTCTTACCCAGGCATTTGACAGGACTGCAATCTACCTGTATTTTAAGCTTCCCACCATAGCTGGGATGACATGCATGTATCACCATGTCCACTGAGATCAAGTCTTTTCGACTTTTCTACCAAGCTGTCCTGAAATGTGGTCCATTCTCAGCCTCCCATGAAGCTATGATTTCAAGTGCTATCACCAAACTCTATGTTGAAAAAGGATCTGCCCAGGCAGGCCTCAAACTGTAATCTTCCACTCCTCAACTTCCCAAGTAGCTACAATTATAGGCACACGTCACTGTATTTTAATTCTTGTGGCTGCTTTAGAGTTTACAGTTTACATTTTTAACTTAGAGTGTAGTTTTCTTCTTTGTTCTTATGTTTATTTCCCTGCATTATGGCCAAAGGTAAAAGTTCAGTTTTCAGATTTCCTGTTTGTTGGTTTTGTTTTGTTGTTTTTTTTTTTGTCAGTTATGGGGCTTAAACTCAGGGCTTGGGCACTGTCCCTGAGCTTTTTCACTCAGGGCTAGCTCTCTACCACTTTGAGCCACAGTGCCACTTCCAGTTTTCTGGTGGTTAATTGGAGATAAGATTCTCAGATTTTCCTGCCCAGGATGGCTTCAAACCACCCTCCTTAGATCTCAGCCTCCTAAATTGTTAAGATTACAGGTGTGAGCTACTGGCACCAGGCAGATTTCCTGTTTTTTGAACATAATATTTTATTGTACGTAACTTTAAAATCCGTGACAAAAAATGTTTCATCTACACAAATAAAATTACTAACACTGTTCTATTTCTCAGACCTCTTTAATACACACATATGTACACCTGTAGTAAAGGGAAATAGGAAAATACTAAAATATAAATATATCATGTAGACAATACTAATCTGTCTTCAAAACCTGTGTGATACTGACATATAAGAAAACTTGGTACAAGTCATAATGCTTTCATAATCTGACAAGAAAGATCACAGTAACACTTTCATATGTGTTAATACAAATGTATTCTCTGAGTCATACTGGGAAAAACTCCCATTTTCATTTTTCAAAGAAATTACTAGTATGTTTAATATCTTATCCCTTTGGAAAATCTTAAAGTTAGTAAGATAAAGCTAGAGATTTCAGTTTGTTTGGGGATTTGTTGTGTTTTGTTTTTAATCTTTAGTAAATATTTTCATCCCAGAAGCCAAAATGAACAGTACAACTATATAAAAAGTACATAAGAGTAAATCTCTGGGCAAGGGACAGCAAGAACACAAGCAAAGAACAGCTCTCCTAACCTTATACCACCAAAAGCACAGATCACAATAGGTAAATATATATATCAAACTATTGATGAAGAGGTATAAACTCTTCTCATGATGAACCTCTACAAATAATCTCAAGGCAAGCAATAATATAAAATGTTTTTCATAGCACCTGAAGAAGACAAAAATGATACAGACAATAGGGCAAAATAATTCATATTTCTTGCTTGGGAAAAACAGGACAATAGTACTGTAATTTTTAGTGTCTAAAATGAAATTTTCATTGATTGTAAATTGACTTAGGGTGATTAAAACTTTATAGTATGATTTTGCCTATCATTAGTATATGAGACAATCAGCAAATATATAATATGCTCTTGTTAGGTCACATAAACACTTAAAAAGATTTTCAGATAGTTAACTAAAGCAATATAAACCAGTAATAGAGCTATCAGAAGTACAATACAGTAACATAAGTGCAAAAGGTACAATATACAATTTAACATTTCAAAAATTATCACATATACAAGTAATAAATAATAGTCATACTTGATGTTATTAACAAAATAACTACTAGCTAACTTGATTTTATTAGTCAGTGGCTTAAAAAATTGCCATTTTTAAATTACGTTCTCCATAAAAATAGAAAGCATATCAAATTTTTAAATCTTCATCTACCTAAAAAAAATTAGAAGGCAATTTGTCAATCAAAAATATAGCTGTTAAAAATGTAATTGTGCATAAGTTTTTCATGCACAATTTTCTTCTTATGAAAAGGGCACTTAAGTTTAGCACTAAAGCATTCAGAAAATAAAAATCCTGTTGACTTTTCTGTTAGGCAGATTATATATTGTACATTTTCAATATAAAAATATACATATTTTTAACAGAGATGTAATAGTGATTGGTGTATAATTCCATTACGCTTTACATGAAAAAAAAGTTTCCACCTGTAGGCCATGAAAATACTGATTCTACATAGTTCTTCGTTGCCAGAGACTTTGCAAATTACAAAATCTTGAAAGTATTCATGAATTTTCAAAAGTGGGCCCGTAGCCTTCTGTTTTCTTCTCGTAATTTTTCAATTTCAGCCACTAAACCTTCATTCACTGAATATCTTTCCAGCAAGGAGTGCATTTCATTCTATAAAAGGAGAGAAATTATTTTTAAATGACTGGATTTTCACATTTATTTGGCAAACTATGGTTTACATAGTTTCTGATATCACTTTTTTCATGCTTAATTAACTATCTGAGTTATAGTTCTTGTACTCAGCCACAAAAATTACTGGCCAAATTAATATACCTAGAAGATGATATCCACACATTTTAGAAGGCTTTTCCTTTACTTATGGGAGGCAGGCATATCTGTGAAAAGTAGCCCCAACTACCACAGGCTTAAAAGGAAGTAATCAGCTAAAATCTATTTTAATTATTAAAATTTCTGAAACGTCATACTTATGTATCTTAGTTAGATAGAGCAATTAAGTAAAATACATTGCCGTTTAATGGATTTCTTTTTTCAGATGCATACAACTGTACAATCATTTAGAACACAATGTCATGTACGTACCATCTGCATATGAAACTGTTTAATCATCTCCACTTGCAAATTCATAATGTCCCTATGGCATGCTTCTCTAAGAAAGAATATAAAATACTTGTTACAATTATAACAATGTAACCCTCATTTAAGAAACTGGCCAAGAAATGAACCCCAAGATAAGGACTCAAATGGTTTTTCTTTCTTGCTATTGTTTCTAACATATTTATAAGATGATTTCTTTGTTGGTTTGCATGTCCCTCCCCCAAGGTATAATCCATTTTCACTGTATTTGATGTTGGTATAATTTGTGGAGGGGAAGGGAAAAAACAAATTGTTTAAATAGGGATACAGGTGGACCCATTGCAACAATGAGATGTACAAGACATTATGTTGAAAAACTAACTTTACAACTTTGGGAGGGGGGAAAGGGGGGATGGGAGGGCAGGGATGGTAAGGGGAAACAAAAGAGCAGGCAACAATACTTGATAAGAAATGTACTCATTACTTTGCTCATGTAATTGTAACCCCTCTGTATGGTATTTTCACAATAAAAAAAACTTATTAATTAAAAAAAAAGAAACTGGCCAAATCTTTCACTGTTTCAAATTATTGGGTATTAGTAATTATTACAATAACAAAAACCAGTGAACCTAGCATTCATTTGCTAACTGCTAGTCATTTTTTCATATAATTTAAAATATAAGAACTCATTTGATCTCCACAATTAGGAGCAATTATTACTTTTACTTTGCCAACAACAAAAAAATTAAGCCAGAGAACAGTTAAAACTTGTCAAAGTCATACACTAAACCAATAGTGGAACTCTTGAGCTTAAAAAGCACATTTGTATAATATGTAATCTGTGGCTCATTGTCCCTTGTTATTTTGTAATTACAGAAAGGATGCCAACCTTGAGCAGCTTATATCTGAGAAATACTATGCTTTAAGTATCATAAAACATATGTTATACTTCATTGGTTTATAGTGGTATGTCCACTCTCCTGTCAATTGATACTGGAGTTGCTTTCAAGTTTTTATCCTGACCATGTTGTTCTAATCACGTATATTGCTTTAAACCACATGCACCAGTGTCCATTTATGATATATCCAGGTATACATACCTGTGTACATACCAGGTATATTTCCAAAGTAGTAGTGGGAATGGATATGTTTACCACCAAAATAAGAGCATTTCTCTTACTCTTTTACCTCAACAAGACTTGGTATTATCACACTTTTTTTTTCTTTTTTAAAATTTTATTTTATTGTAAAGATGCTTTAAAAAAAAACAGTATGTTCCTTGGTAATTGATGTGATATATAGTGTTTCACTACTTTTTCCATTCTCTAATTATGGTGTTATACATTTCTCCTCATGTTCATACATCATTCTTCTATAAAATGCCTATTCATGTCTCTTTCTCATTCATTATAAAAGTTGGTTACATAATCTGATCCCTTGCTGGTGATATGTACTAACTTTGCTAGTAGTGTCTCATAATTAGAATTCTATTAATATACTTAAATTTAACAACTCTACTATTACAGGTAAAATTTGCATCTATTTTATAGATGCTCATGATGCTCTTTACCCTTTTTTAAAAATAATACTCCTACTGTGATTTATAAATCACAGTAAAGTTTGTTACATTTTTATTCTATATATTCTATATTCTAAAACATTTTTTTGTATTTTTTTTTTAGTACTGGGGATTGAACCCAGGACATTGCAGTTGCTAGACAAGCACTTTGCTACTGAGCTACATCCTAGACCAAGAATTAATATTTTTTCAGAAGCATTAAATAGGGATCCATTCTTACCTTTTAATATAAATAATCAGATATCACAACACAATTCAATGATCATCCCATATTTTGTACAGAGATCTTCAATGTAACCCCTGTCACCCATCAAGTTTATATATACACAGAGGTTTCTTTCCTATTGGCAATTTGTATATTCTGTGCCAATGTTACATTACCTTAATTTTACTCCAAAACAAAACAATTAAATCCTAATCAAAAGACTAATAAATACCAAATAAGACACTTTACTTCAAACATTTGATGATCACTCATTGCATACAGAATACTTCAACAGGTAACTCACAAATATTGCCTGTTATATAAAAGCTATGTTGAGTTTACAAGAATCTGTCCACATTTTAATAATTTTAAAATCAGCAATGGCAACCTGTATACTATCCATCTCTGTCAGATTATCTGCTAACTGCTTTAGGTAATTGTGCCTTTTCCTGGCGCATGTACCAAAATAAGATCAACAAAATCTCATCAGGTTTTTTATGGTTTTATGGTCACTAGAACCCAGATTCATGTCATAATTACCAATGTTACATACACTAATAAAAAAGAAAAAAACTAGAAAAATATCAATTTTTCCATTATTACCTAAAGTCATCCAAGGTTTCTTGTATCATGTTCTGAATAAAACGGATTTGTACAGATGTCAGCGGAGCATTTGACCGATTGTTTCCAATGGTGTCCACTATTTTTTCTGAGAGCGAACTGGCAACTCCGGCAGTGACAGAAGATGCTATCTTTGGGTCTAAAATAAAGGACAGAGAAAATATTAATAGTCAACTTGAACTAAGAGACATCAAACATTTCAAAATAAGATTCTTTATGAGAAAACTTGAAAAACTGGCAAAGAACAGTGTTTCCGTGACATTTAGAAAAATTCTGTCTGGAATACAAATTTTAGAAACTTTCTATGACATTATTTCTAATAGTCATTTATCTATCTATATAAACTGCCAACTGCCTAATGTAATACATGTGACAGGGGGATTCATCTTGAGCATCTCTGAACCACTTTTCTTCTAAAAGATGAATGTGACAGGCTGTACCACAAACCAGATAAACAAGACTATTAAAAACCAACAGAAAGAATACAGAAGTAAAGCAGTGCTTTAGGCAAAGCATTAGCGTTTAAGCTAATGTAATAAATACATCAACAGAAAGCTTATAATGAAAAATACAGGTATTTCCATAACAGAATTGTTTCTATATGAAGAGCTCCTTTGACACCTCCTTGCCAATGAACTCTTTAAATGCAACCTTTTAAATGCAACTGAGACTCATGAATGTGGAATAAATTCTACCAGCTAAAGACTTTAAGAAGAAGAAAAAGAAAAAGATTTACAAGATCAAGTAATTAACCAATTCTTTTTAAAGGGTTCGTTATTATAATTCTATCTATACTTTATTACACAAAAGGTGATATAGTTAATTGAGATTAAATTTCATATTGTTGGATAGAAAGAGGTAGGGTCAAATTAATCTTGATGAATTTGCATTCATTGTTCCCTAGCTAAAAATGTAATCTAGAGAAGTATCTATAAACCTTCTGCAAGCCATTTTTTTGTTGTTGTTGTGGGGCTTGAACTCTGGGCCTGGGCGCTGTCCCTCAGCTTTTCAGCTTAGGCTAGCGCTCTACCACTTGAGCCATAGCGCCACTTCCAGCTTTTTCTGTTTATGTGGTGCTGAGGAATCGAACCCAGGGCCTCATGCATGTAAGGCAAGCACTCTACCACTGAGCCACCTTCCCAGCCCTAAACTTTCAACTTGAATATTTTTCAGTTTATAATCACTCTAGCCTTGAAGTTACCATAACTGGAGACTGTTTCAACTTAACAGTTTTCTCAGTCATCAGGACGTTTTTTTAATATTTCTAAAAATATTTTTATTGGGCTGGGAAGGTGCTCATTGGTAGAGCACTTGCCTTGCATGCCTGAGGCCCTGGGTTCGATTCCTCAGCACCACATAAGCAAAAAGAAAAAAAGCCGTGGCTTTTTTTTCTGTGTCTCAAGTGGTAGAGTGCTAGCCTTGAGCTGAAGAGCTGAGGGACAGCGCCCAGGCCCAGAGTTCAGGCCCCACGACAGGACCCAAAAAAATAAAAAATAAAAAAATATTTTTTTATCTTTACATTGTTGTACAAAGGCGTTACCATTCACCGATGCAGTGTATCTTGATTACTGTCACCCCTTTCACCATCCTAACCCAGGCCTCCCAACCCACCCCCCTTCCCTTACTTATCATAATTTTAGGCTATGTGTTGAATTTTTCACCATTTAAAAAGCAGTGTATCTGCGTCACCACTTCAACCCACCCCTTCCCTTATATTTCTCAATGAAGTCTTGCCTGCATTCTTCCTATTTTTCCCCTTCATTTTTCTACCACTTCCATTTTGGCCCCACCTCCCCCCCTCTTTCAAGTACCGATTTCCTGGTACTTATTTTGTTAGCTTTGACTTTGTGTTTTTAAAGAATTATACCATTTGCACTCTCCACAGAGTCTAATACACTTCAGTTAATTAGTTTGTAACCCCTTACTCACCATCCAGTGTGTTTACTTGTAGATTTTTAGGCACATTCTAACTACTACTACAGATGAGGGAAACCATGAAGCCTGTTTCTCTAGGTCTGGCTTACTTCCCTTAACTATCAGGAAGTTTTATGTACTTACCTGGAGTAGAGGAGCCATTGACTGGGGGTTCATATATTAATTGGGTTTCAATATCTTTCTCTGGCTTTTCAAATTTCTCAAGATTTCTTGTTTGGTTAGTTGATAGAGAGGTATTTATATTTCCAGGTTCAGCACCAGAGGAGATCAATCTGGCAAACTTAATATTTAAATTAACAATTACTTCAGTATATACTTTGTTTTACCTAGATTGTGCATTACAATTTTGTCTATTTTTCCCCCAGTACCATTAATAATTAGAATGCATCCATTGATAGTCATTACTTTCAAATGATAACCATTAAGGATAAGTTCAATATCATTTTCAGACATACCTGTTTGAAGGAGTCTTTAGGTTCTGGTTTTCCCAGATATGTCTTCTTAGGATCAGCTGTCAAATCATGATTTTCATTTTCTTCTTTCCCTGGTGATCCCATAAAAACATTAAGAGGACTAGAGTGTAATGCCAAAGTGCCTGAAGTAACTGGAGTTTTTCTTGGAGGAAACACTGAATTTAATTGTGGTAGAAAGTCAAGTCCTAAAAGAGGAGAAAAAAATTGCATGTAATATTTTGCATGTAGTATTTTTCAATTGTGTATACTTACTTGTAAGGACTTATCTTGATGGGAAGATTAATTTGGCAAAAAGACAGGATTTGAATTCAGAAGACTGGTTTTTCTTAGAGATACCCTGGACTTTATATATATTTTTGAACATATCTCTTGAAAGTTGATATCTGTATTTTCTGATCTGTAAAATGCGAATGATATAATTTCCCAGAGTTGTGAGGCTTAAAAATATTATATGTGCCAAGCACCAGTGGGTGGTTCACACCTGTAAATCCTAGCTACTCAGGAGAGGTTGAGATCTGAGGATCACAGTTCAAAGCCAGCTCAGGCAGGAAAATCTGTGAGACTCTTATCTACAATTAACCACCAGAAAACCCCAAGTGGAACTGTGGCTCAAGTGGTAGAGCGCTTGTCTTGAGCTAAAGAGCTCAGGGACAGCCCCCAGGCCCAGAGTTCAAGCCCCATGACTGACCAAAAAAAAAAACAAAACCTTTATTATACAAAACACAGTAAGTGTAGTCACTCTTAGTTTTTGATAACTGAAGAGTATTAATTTTGTATGTACCTATAATAAAGTATATGTTGTGGTAGGCAGCCTATAAGGTAAGTTCTAGTGATCCATGAACTTGACATCTGTACTGTGTGTATTCCCTCCCTTTGAATATGGGCTGAACCTACAGATTTATTTCTAACAGAAAACATGACAGAAGTGGTATGATGTCTCTTCCAGGACTAGGTTATAAACATACTATGGCTTCCATCTTGGATGCCCTCCCTCTCTCTCACTTAACTGCTGAGGGAAGAGCTGCTCTGTTGTCAGCTTCCCTGTGGAGATGCTCCACTGGCAAGGAACTGGTATTTCCAGCCAAAAATCAGAACAATGAGTTTGGAAACAAATTCTTGCCCAGTTGAGCCTTGAAATAGATGCAGGTCTGGCCAATATCTTGATTGAAGCATCAAACAGCTTTCAAGGCAAAGGTATCAAGCCAAGTCATGCTCAGATTCTTAACCCACAGAAATAGTGAGCTAACATATTGTTCTTTTAAGCCTCGAGGTTTTAGTGTCACTTCTTACACAGTAACAGGTAATATGGTATTAAAATTTCAGAAAAATACTTCTTAGGAGTTCTTACCTTCTCCTTTGCCTACAGATTCATCACTTCCCTTGTTAAGTACAGCATCTACAATAAAATAAGATCACGTTTAATATAGTGAAAAATAAACTTCAGCAACTTAGGCTAAACTTTAAGATCTCAGAGACTGAAGACCTTAAAAAAGAAAATATAAGTGAGATCAAAGGTTACAGCTAGTACTCATCAAAACATCCTTTTCATTGCTTCATGTACAGCAGTAAATTCAACAGATATTCAAATGGCCAATAAGCATGATTATCTTTTTTTTTTTTTTTTGGGTCCTGTCTTGGGGCCTGAACTCTGGGCCTGGGCACTGTCCCTCAGCTCTTCAGCTCAAGGCTAGCGCTCAACCACTTGAGCCACAGCGCCACTTCCGGCTTTTTTCTTTTTGCTTATGTGGTGCTGAGGAATGGAACCTAGGGCCTCGAGCATGCAAGGCAAGCGCTCTACCACTGAGCCACCTTCCCAGCCCAAGCATGATTATCTTACTAGTAGTAATATCTATCTTCATTTGTGAAATGACACAGATTTTTGAAATCATTACTTTCTTAATATTTTTATTTAAAAGAACAAAGTAAGGCACAAAAACATTACCTTTTACTGAAAGAGCCTCATCCTTGACATTGAAAGACAAATTTCTTGACAATAAAAATTAGCATTATATTTACTGTCTATGTTTTTCCTTAGTGTTAACAGGAAAAAACCTCATGGAGGACATATGCTTTTAAATTCTAACTAATCACACTTGAAAACACAGCAATAGGTATTAACTTCTCTTAAAAAGTAATAAATATATTATGATCAAAGTATATGTATATGAAAATGTCATGATGAAACCCATGTAAAATATTTAATAAAGAAAGCAACATTAGGCCAGGCACCAGTGGCTCATGCTTGTAATCCTAACTACTCAGGAGGCTGATATCTCAGGATCACTGTTCAAAGCCAGACTGGACAGGCAAGTCCATGAAACTCTTATCTCCAATTAACCATCAAAGAAGCAAGAAGTGGAGCTGGGCTCAAGTGGTAGAGAGCTATAATTAACTTTGAGCAAAGAAGTTCAGGAACAGTTTCCAGGTCCTGAGTGTAAGTCTCAGAAACAGCAAAACAAACAAACAAACAAAAAAAACACCAAAAGGATTTAGATCTAGTTTATAGACTCAAGCACTTGCCAAAAATCCCTTTATACATTCCTTAAATGCAAAAGTTGCTTGGTGGTTGATCTCACAAACCAGCCCCTCAACTCAGTGCTAACCCAGCCTTTCCACTCTCCACCCCACCACCCTTCCTCTCTTCTTAACTATTCACTTCAACTTCTCTTTACCCTGGAAAAAAAGAGAAAGGAATCTTTCCTCTTTTATTAGATGGGAGAACTTGCTCAAAATTTTAAGTAGTTATTTTCAGGCTAAGATAAGCTAGAAGACACTCAATAAGTCTGAACTATCACTTATTAATTTATTCCTCTATTATGAAATGTAAGGAATTTGAGAGAGACCAGAAATGGAGCTGAGGCAACTCCACTGAGTTCAAACCCCAGGACTGGCAAAAAAAACCCCAAAACAACAAAAAACAAAAAAACACCACCACCAACAACAAAAAAACCCACGGTGAAAAAACTATTTTAAAGTAAAAAAATGAAATCTTGTAAGATCACGAGTAGATGCAATTTAAAAACCTGCTGTTTGACATTTAGAGTCTGTCTACCTTTTCTCAACTATAAATAAAACAGCAAACACACAAATCTCTATGAGCTTCTCTGAATATTTTCTGAGGTAAATTTGTAGAAATGAAATTATCAGGCCAAAAAGTATGAATAATTTAACTTTGCTATATTAGCCTCTAGATATTTATTCATATCATTGATAATTAAGAAAATGGTATAAACATTAGGACCAAAAAAAAAAGCACAGTTAAACAATGTACTAGTTCATATACTGTAAACTACCACATATAGTGTATCCACAGTTCAAGTTGGTAAGGGTTTTTCTTAATGGCAACATCACAGGATGTGTGTTTCAGATACGTTGTACATGTGTATGTGTCTGTGTGTGTGTTACATATACATATATACCACAGCACAGATATCTAATACTTTCATACCCAGCCTAAGAGATGGGGCAATCTATCACCTATCTATTTGATATATGGCAATTAAACATTAATAATCTTAATTTTTTAACTGGCAAGACACTTTTTGCATATCAAAAATTTCAAGATTTTAGGAAGATGTATTTTGAAGTACATACCTATATTGCCTAGGAAGGTAATATTTCTTTTAAGAAACTTTTATGACAGGGAGCAGGTAGCATAACTCAGTGGCACACTAGTCTAGGCTGCAAGAGACCATGAGCTTGAACTTTACTACTTAAAAAAATGAATTTTTTATAGAAATTAAAATACTGTATTTTTAAAGCTATTTGCAATTGGAAATTACATATATATATATGTAATTTATATATATATATATACATATATATAAAATTACCAGTGAAAATTAACAGCATATTTTGGAATTGTTTGAAATATCAGGGTAAAGGAAAAGGCATTACCTAAGAGATGAGAAAATTAATAAACTGCCATGTCCAGAGCTAGTCTAAAGCCATTACTCATACCTTTTAGGTTCTAAGTGAACACACCACTGATCTGAATATACTTACCATCTCTGATAGGTGAGAACATGTCACCTAAACTACTCTTGCTAGTATCTTCAAAGCTAGAGAAGTCCTGACTTTTTCCACCATCTGTTTCCTTAGGTAAAATTTCAGTGTTTATGCTTCGTGACAAACCTTATAAGAATTAGACACAAAAATCATCATTACTATATTTAAATACATTTGATCATCAGAAGTGAAGTTGTAAAAATTAATTCAATGTCATATTAATGAATTACCCTACTACAAGCCTCAGGACAGGAAGCAGAATAAGCCAGCTGTTAAGCTAACCACCACTCTCAGGAATGAAGGTTTCTCAAAAGCAAACAGTATATTAATTCATACAGCAATACCTTTTTTAGCCACTGATAGGAAATTTCTAAAATAATGTATTTGCTTTGCTTCCCTCTTAAAATACACTGAATATAATTTACTTTTCTAACTAGTTCTTATGATCATCTATCAATGATTTTTTTCAAGTGTGCTAGGAAGAATGTGATACTTAACATCACAACAGGATTCAATTAACATTAGTTCTTTTTTTATTGTGAAAATACTGTACAGAGGGGTTACAATTACATGGGCAAGATAATGAGTACATTTCTTATCAAGCATTGTTGCCTCCTCTTTTTTTCCCCTTCCCATCCCTTCCCATACTCCCCCCACCTCTCCCCACCCAATCCTCCTCCCCCCACCAAAGCTGTAAAGTTCGTTTTCGACATAACAACTTTTACGTCTCATTGTTGCAATGGGTCCACCTGTATCTCTATTTAAATGGTTTGTTTTTTCCCTTTCCCTCCACAAATTATACCGACATCAAATACAGTGAAAGCAGGGGTTATACTATGGGGGAGGGACATACAAAGCAACAAAGAAATAATCTTATAAATGTGTTAGAAACATTCGCATGAAAGAAAAAAAACATTTGAATATAAATCTTAGGGTTCATTTCCCTAACATCAACCTAACTGACCTTTTCTGCTTGACTCAGACAAATAAGGAACCAACCCAGATGCCCCTCAGCAGATGAATGGATCAAGAAAATGTGGTATATATACACAATGGAATTCTAACATTAGTTCTTCAACATGCAAAGAATGGGTCTTTAGTCCCTTTTCTGGTTTCTTGTTTATTCCCCCTAACTGTGGGAGCTTAATATTGACTTCAGCATTTTCAGCCCCAATGACTTCACTAACTTCTATAGATTACTAGGAATAAGAAACCAAAGACATCAAACTCATAAATAGTACTACAACAGACAACACTAAAGAAGGTGATATAGTTTACTTGTTTTAGTAGTATATAGGGCATGGCTTTAGAGCATAGACTTTGTATGAGAAACTGAAGGCTCAGTAGCTTCTTGTGTCTGGCACTTAGATGGAAGTCTAGCTTCTGCATGAGTAGCATATTTCTATACTGTATTTCAAAAAGTGTTATATCTGACATCTCAGTCTCAAATGAAAACTGAAGGATCTGAGATGACAAAAAAGAATAGATTATTATAATTTGAAAAATGTCCAGGCCTGGCTAATGAAATCAACTTTTTATTAAATAAACCGCTGCTAGAAAGTTAAAACATAATCAAATCTCTAGTACCACAATCATTGCAAAGCTTTTTACACCAACAGTGAAGATGTTATAAAGAAAAAAGAGAGAATCTGAGTATATAACTGTATCTTTAGAATGTTACAAAATGGAAGTGTGGTCTCACTGAAAAATACTGCTAAAGCCTCTTAAAGTATCAGTACTGAAAATGAACACCAGCACCAAGTCCACACAGGTTCTTTGTATAACTAAATCAGGACACTTTCAGTGAAACAAATTAGATTAAAACACTTAAATAATACCAATAATTATGGTAATGATTGTGATGATACAGATAACAGTTTTATGCCATAATTTTATCACCACAAGCCTACATGTGCCAGAAACTTGTGAAATACTTTCTCTGACTTTCACAAAAATGCTACAAGTTAAATATTATCTCCAGTATACAGAAACAAAAACAACTCTTGGGTAAGGTAAGAAAACTACCCACAACTAACCTGAGATTTGAGTATAACTTATCTCAACTCTTCTAAGAGAAAACCCTGTGTGTATGCCTTTAAGAAAAGCCAAAAGCAAGTAAATGTAGCAAAACTTACACAGTAGTACATTAGTACATTTACTGAAGGATAAAAGCTTGGGAGTCTATAGGGCCATTCTTAAAACTTCTCTGTAAACTGACAATTATTCTAAAATAATGATTTGTGGAGCAAATCAAACATCATTTTGCCAGAAATTTTGGAAATCTGACAGGTTATTAATCAGTGACCCAGCAAACCCGAGTCTTTCATTCCCTAATTAATGCTGTCATCTTTAACAAGACACCTTATTAAAACTGAATAAATAACAATAGTGTTTAGACTCTACAGAAATAAATAATATTGTTTACATAGTAATAAACATTATAAATTCATTATTTAAATAACAAATCATAAAAATTATAAAAGTACTTTTGGAAATTTTCATAGTATACTTAATTCACAACTGGCTGATATTAGCCAGTTATATTTCAAAATCAACTTTTAAAAGTAAACAATAATGCTGTTTTCTCCAAGAATTCTCAAAGAATGGCTATGAGCTGGTTTTCTATAAGAATAACAAAAATATTCTAGGAAACTGATAGTGACTAGATGCATTATTTACAGTTTACTCTATTATTAAAAGTTTATTTTATTATTTAAAGATTTTTTTGCTACTTTGAAATAGTAAATTCATACTGAGGAAAAAAACCAACAAATATTTTTGTACAAATTTGTCCTAAAAATGAAAAAAGAAATGTAGACATATATTTCCATAGAGCACAAGGTTTAGAAGCACATTGGTATGCCGTGTAGACTTTAAAGAATATCTGTTACAAGTTAAAGAACAACATAACCTCTTAAGTTAAAAAAAATGTTTTCAGCAATTTACAGATCTTTGCTATGGGCCCATCATTAATAACACCTTCACTAAACAAAATGAATTTCTGTTTCAGAACTGTTTCATCAATGATTACCAGAATAAATCATTTTAGTTTAGTGAACTACTAATATGCTGCCTAATATATACCAGACACTATCCAGTACATAAAAACATTTACTTTATCACCTGACTTTCTTTGTAGTATGAAAAGGCACCATTAGTAACTTATTACTTTCCACTTATGATATCAAATCATAATTGACAGCACCAAAGTTTTCCATTCTCTACACACAATGGAAAGTCACAGTCTGCAGTATATTAGACAGAAATTATTTCTAAACCAGTATCATTCCATTTTTAAAATAATCACTATTTCTCACAACATAATTGTAGCTGAACTTTTCAAAAATGTATAGCCAAAGATAAAAGCCACTTGTGTTCAACAATATCTAATAAATACTAAATGAATCAGAGTTCTAGTTTCTTGAAAAAAGTGTTACTTATTCAGGAAGACAGAACCTCCAAATCCCATGTCTATCAGCAATGTTACCTGCTTTGCTCTGAATGGCACTTGTTCCTTTCCCCACAGCTGGTGCCACAGGCTGTGGCGGAACTGTGGCAACAGACACAGTGGCTGCTTCTCTGACAATTCCAGAGTTCTGAACCCCTCCACCAGTGCTCACATTGACGGTTCGCTTGTTCACTGCTGTGGCCTTATTTGAACAGCCTTTATTTGAACTGGACTGAAATGTAATGGAATATTTAAAGCTCAGGTTACTAATGTTTCATACACACATTAATATTTTATAGACAGACTGTTAGCTTTTTTCCCCCTTATAAATGGTATGCTTACTGGTGGATCTGAGTTTTACTTTGAACAAGAAATGTCTTATAAAACACTTATAAAGAATCTTATATGTGAAAATTGATGACCAAGAAAGTTTTAAAACTATGTATTAGATGGCTTTTTACTAAGATTAGTTAAAATGCTATCATGATTATTTCTTTGTTGCTTTGTATGTCCCTCCCCCACAGTATAACCCCTGCTTTCACTGTATTTGATGTCGGTATAATTTGTGGAGGGGAAGGGGAAAATCAAGTCGTTTAAATAAGGATACAGGTGGACCCATTGCAACAATGAAAAGTACAAGCTGTCATGTCGAAAACGAACTTTACAACTTTGGTGGTGGGGGGGGAGGATTGGGTGAGGGGGTAGGGGGGAGGCTGGGAAAGGATGTGAAGGGTAAACAAAGGAGGAGGCTGCAATGCTTGATAAGAAATGTACTCATTATCTTGCCCATGTAATTGTAACCCCTCTATAAAGTATGTTCACAATAAAAATAAATAAATAAAAAAGAAAAAAAGAAAAATGATTATGAATACAATTTTTAAACTGACAATGTGTAATATTCACATTCTAAGCTAGATTTTAAGCAAAAAATCAACAATGCTGAAAAGAATCTATCTCACCTTAGTAAGAGTAGTGGAGTACTGAAACGCTATACACTGCACAGATGTTTTGTGAGCATTGATGGTTTTCACTGGGGATTTTAGCATCCTTAAATCATACTGATATATTTTCCCACGGGAAGATCCAATAGCCAAAGTGGCTCCATCAGGCATGAAATCTACTGCAGTAAGAGGAGCCTCAGCCACCAAAGTTTTCACTAGCCTTTGGAGACAGGAATAAAATATATTACAGGAATGTTAGTGTATGAAGTCATATAGCTTTAAGGACATGTTTACACAAGTTTCTGACAACTGGGTAAATGGCATAAATATCCCAAATATTAAAGCAGAATTCAGAATTTGCCAGTTATTTTTAATACAATGATAGGTAAAGAACTTCTGAACACTATCTTATCTTTGTTTTCATTTCTATTCTACTTCATTACCAATAAGAACACCTCCGTTGAGTAATTACTAATTTGGCAGTGTATGCAATACAGTTTCTCGAGCATCAGGATGAAGGAGGTTCTGTGCATCTACTTTCCACTTAGTGACTCACTTAGGTCTCAAGAGCACTAGGACCTTTCACAGGGGAGCAGCTGTTACTCTGCTCAGAGCTGTGCCATCTCTTTACCAAAAAGCTACAGGGAACAGAGTCCACATGGCTTGATACTCAGGAAGCTAATTCACGGGGATCCTGATTTGCTGAAGCTGAGCTCTTTGCTGGTATATCTGGCATAAGAGAACAATGGCTTACTGACTATTGGGGCACCCAGTAAATTATTTCAAAAGGAAAGAGTAAAATAAGTAACAAAAACTCTACCACCATAACAAAGGTTATGACACTGGAATCCATCCCTGACAGCACTGACATTCTGTGTGAGCTTTAGATACTTCAAGACCACTCTCTTGCTGAAGAAGGAGGTAAATGGTTACAAGACTAAGCACCCTACTTGGAACAATTTTGCTCCCTGGGGATATTTGGCATGTCTGAAAACAGTATAAGCTATCACAGTGTGTGGAATGCCATTGGGATTTAGTAGACAATGGCCAGGGATGCTGCTAAATAGGCTACAATGCCCAGGGTAGGTCCCAATGGTTTCCCAGCCCAAATATACTAAGGCTAGAAATTTTGCTGTAGAAATAATTTTACACCAAATTTAAAAAATACTTTAAATATACAGATGTGCTTTTAAAAAGAAAATGAACACTAAGAATGTGAAGCATAAGAAAAACAAAGCATGTGAGACTGACATTGGTGACTCACACTCGCAATGCCAGTTACTGAGGACTGGGATTTGAAACCAGCCTCAGCAGAATCATCCATGAGACTCTTATCTCCAATTAACCACCAATAAAGCTGAAAGTGGAGGTATAGCACAAGTAGTAGAGTATCAACCTGGAGTAAAAAACACCAAATGAGAGGACGGGGCCCTGAGCTCAAGCCTAGTACAGGTACACACAGGCATGTGCATGCACATGTACTCTGTGTGTACGTGTGTGTGTGTGTGTGTGTATAATAAAATCAGGATGCTATTCCCAAACTATCATGTTTCAAATGTTTCTAAGTAATACTCGTGCCCCAACCACATTATTCTGCAGGACAATAAGAAAGAAACTTCTCTTTTTACTAGATACAAGAAGTATACAGCTCCTAGCTCCTAAGCATTAATCTCAATCTGTAAGAGTCACAAATAGTCTGTTGATAGGGAAACTACCAAATTAAGGAACAAGCACATCACACTTACTTCTTACTTGAGGTGTCATAGAGGATGATCCTTTTATCCAAGCCTATGGTTACAAACAGCAATTCATTGACAGGAGAGAAACAGATGCCGGAAGCTGGAGCTTTATGTGTGCTATCGAAATTATGGTGTGAACTCTGACTATTCACATCCCAGAGAGTTACTATTCCATTATCTGAAACACTGCCCAGTAATGATTTCTTAAACAAGGAGTACTTCAAGTGCCGAACAGACTATAAAAATAAAATAATAAATTTTATGGAATTGTAAGCATTCACAGATATACTTTATATAAATTACAAAAAGCAAATCAACTTTACATAAGATTTAGAACTTCTCTTTTTTTAAAGAGCAACAGATTTTTGCCACAAGAACCATAATATAATTTAGTGGACTATAAATCGACCCTGAAACATACAAATAGTCTATTAATTGGATATTTGTCATGATTTTTATCTTGGAGTATAACTCAAGCACACCCTTTACTGAGAAACTTGCCATACACTGAGATTGCTGGGTTAGAATATATACTGTAAATATAGAGCCTTGTCTCAGGTAACTACCTGGGAACAGACAACTACAAGGGAACACTGGGAGAAGATAATTAATGGTTCATCTTTGTTTCCTCTATTATTATAGATATTTGGATATATTTGTTTGAACTTGAGCATGTGATGATCTGGCAGTTCTAAGACCTTCAGCGTAATAAAACTGGAAGGACGAATTGGCAATGCTCTAAATGGGGATAAACTATATCCAGGCTTTCAAAGGCATCCGTCAGCCTAAGGGCAAGCTGGCCTTTCTCTAAACATTAATCACTGGGGCAACAAAGATATTCTCCCTTTCCAGTTTCTAATGGTCCAGAATAAACAAAGATCCAAGTTTAATAAACACATCTAAGATATTACTTTAGCTACCTTTGCTAAAATACTGCTTTCAAATTTTTTGATATTATAATTAATTTTCAAGTACTTTATATGCAAGTTAATTTTCCCCTGCAAACTTACTTTACTTAATTCTCAGTTTTGAAATAATATTCAACATAAACTCTAGAATAACAAAATATCTGTTATTAAAACCTCAGCTAAGATAATTACAACTATGGTCATCCATTAAATTTGATGCCTTATTTTCAAGTAAGGAGCCCAAACATGAACAAAAAGATGCTGGTTTATGCAATTTTTATTTTTGTTGAGAAAACATACATTCACTTGAATAGATAAACCTTTCTTCTGGACTACATTTAAGAAAAAATAAACTACATAAATCTTTTGTTTTTGAGCCAGGGTCTTGTTCCATAGTCCAAGCTAACCTTAAATTATTCACAACTCAGAGTGCTAAGATTACAGTAATATTTATAGAATCACGTGCTAGCCTGTTAAAAGGCCAAACAATAATTTTCAAGATTTCCTGTAGCACTAGAAGGAATGATTTATAATCCTTTACACATCTAAATTTCGATGAAATGCACAATTTCAGAAAACATTATAGCATCTGAGAAATGGTATACTGTCAAAGTTGGTAGAGATCAATCTAGAAATAGGCACAGCAAGAATGTGCCTAAAACAACTTTAAAATATAGCTACCCAGTATCTGATGGGAATACACAATACTATTACTTCTCTGGTGTCGTTGTATACACCTGTAACCTCAGCATAGGAGCAAAGGTTCCAAGGCAGGAGGATCATAAGTTTGAGGACAGCCTAGACTACCATAGCAAGCCCCTGTTGCCAAAAAATAAAAAAAGTATTCCTTTATTAACTCAAAACTTAAATTCCATATATTGTTTCAAGTTCTTGGGACCTAAATGGCAACTCATTAAGAATAGATCATCTTAAATATTCCGCTCAGAAAATCTAACTTCAGATGGAGGATCAAACCCTTTGTGATTTAGATAAATTCTTCAAAACTCTCCAAATCTAAGTGTTTTTGTTTGCCAGTCAAGACTATCTGGAAGCAGGATGCTGGTGGCTCACGCCTATAATCCTAGCTACTTAGGAGGCTGAGCTCTGAGGATCATGGCTTAAAGCATGTCAAAAACGAACTTTACAACTTTGGGGGGGAGGATTGGGGGGGAGGCTGGGAAGGGATGTGAAGGGTAAACAAAGGAGGAGGCTGCAATGCTTGATAAGAAATGTACTCATTATCTTGCCCATGTAATTGTAACCCCTCTGTACAGTATGTTCACAATAAAATAAGTAAATAAATATTGAAGAAGAAAAAAAATAATAAAGCCAGTTGAAAGCCAGCCCAGCAGGAAAGTAGTAAGACTCTCATCTCCAATGGAACCACTAGAAAACCCGAAGTGGCACTGTGGCAAGTGATAGAGCCCTAGCCTTGAGCTGAAGAGTTGAGGGACAGGGCCAGGCCCAGTTCAAGCTCCACAACAAAAACAAAAAGAAACAAGACTATCTGGAGGATTAAGTAACATTTTGCAAGATCCTGGTACACAGCAGGTATTATGCCTATCTCACAAGGGCCTAGCTTTCTTGCTCATTGTTGCTATGTACCTGTCACTTAATCATCCTATTTTTTTTCCCTGTGAAGGTACTTGGACTCAGAGCTGAGGTCCTGTCCCTTCAACTTTTCCCTCCATTGCTGGCTTTTTGGTAGTTAATCAGAGATAAGAGTTTAACGAACTTTACTTTCCTAACCAGAGGCGTGAACCACTGGGGCCTAGGTCAAACATCTTCTATAAATATTTTAAGACTCTTCAATAAACACACTAACTTCTTTAGCCCTTTGATAATATTAACAAGTTATCTTTTCTGACTTTCTACATCTATTAAATTATCATCTCTTTAGAACAGCTAGTGACTGAGAATGAACGAAGTACTGATCTATTAAATTATTTAAAATAAACCATTAATTCATTTTGGTATCAGTAGCACTTAAGTTATGATACATTTATCTTATTAAAGAATAAACTATTTCCAAGAGTTAAATAAAACTATCAAGAAGCTTATGGGGGAAAAATATTATAGCGCTATAAGAACACATGTGAGGTTCCCTTCTGGCCACATCCCCTCCAGCATCTGTTGTTATTAGAGTTCTTGATTCTAGCCATTCTAACTGGGGTGAAGTGGTATCTCAATGTTGCTTTGATTTGCATTTCTTTTATGGCTAGGGAGGTTTAACATTTCTTCATGTGTCTACTGGCCATCCTTGTTTCCTCTCCAGAGAAGTTTCTCTATAAGTCTTTAGCCCACTTATTTATTGGGCAGTTGTTTCTTTGAAGATTTGTGTTGGGGGATTTATTTTTTTGAGTTCCAGGTATATTTTAGATATGAGACCATTGTCTGTTGTATGGCTAGTGAAGATCTTCTCCCAATCCGTGGGCTTTCTATTGATCTTGCTAGCTATGTCCTTTGCCATGCAGAACTCTGCAATTTCATGCAATCCCATTTGTCCAACCTTTCTTTGATGTGTTGTGTTTCTGGGTCTCTATTAAGAAAATTTTGGCCTGTGCCAAAGAGACCTAGGGTTTTTCCTATTCCATCCTGTAATGTTTTCAGAGTGTCTGCTTTGACTGCGAGGTCTTTGATCCATTTGGAGTTGATTCTGGTGCAGGGTGATATATAGGGAACCTTACTTCATTGTTGGTGGGAGTGTAAACTTGTTCAACCACTTTGGAAAGCAGTATGGAGGTTCCTCAAAAGACTCCACATAGAGCTCCCCTATGACCCAGCAATCCCACTTTTGAGCATTTACCCAAATGTTCACAAACAAGACCACACTAAAGCTACCAGCACAACTATGTTTATTGCAGCATTATTTACCATAGCTAAGAACCAACCCAGATGTCTCTTAGTAGATGAATGAATCAAGAAAATGTGGTATATAGACACAATGGAATTCTATGCCTCCATCAGAAAGAATGACATTGCCCCATTTGTTAGGAAATGGAAAGACTTGGAATAAATTATATTAAGTGTAGTAAGCCAGGCCCAAAGAAACATAGGTCCCATGGTTTCCCTTATATGCAATAACTAGTATATGGCTGAGTCAAGCAGAAAAGGTCAGATAAGTTGATGTTAAGGAAATGAACCCCAAGATATGTATTCAAATGTTTTTTTCTTTCATGTGTTTGTTTCTAACACATTTATAGGATTATTTCTTTGTCCCTCCCCCATGGTATAACCCCTGCTTTCACTGTATTTGATGTTGTTATAATTTGTGGAGGGAAAGGGAAAAAACAAATCGTTTGAGTAGGTATACAGGCGGACCCATTGCAACAATGAGATGTACAAGTCGTTATGTCGAAAACAAACTTTACAACTTTGGTGGGGGGGGAGGAAGATTGGGTTGGGGGCAAGAGGGAGGATGGGAAGGGATAGGAAGGGGAAACAAAGAAGGAGGCTACAATGCTTGATAAGAAATGTACTCATTATTTTGCCCATGTAATTGTAACCCCCTGTACAGTATTTTCACAATAAAAAAAAGACCAAAAAAAAAAAAAAGAACACTTGTTAGTGTGAGAGTTTGTTTCTAAATATATAACTATACACTCAATCTAAGTAGGGGGGTTGGCAAACATTCTTAAAGGACTACACAGAAAATATTTCATGGTACTGTACTGAAAGAGTAGCTAAAGGTAATGCATAAATGAATAAGCATAACTGCACCAATAAAGTTTCATTTACAAAAGTAAGCAGGCTCCTAGGTATCAGTTTGTTCACCTCTACTATAGATATTTGATTTTTTTTAATCACAAAGCAAAGAAAGTTCACCTAATAATTCTATCTAATAATTTCGAAACATTTTTTATGCACCTGTATGTTTGTGTGGTTTCCACAGATTATCAACCAAAAACCTGGGATCACACTTTCCTACTGAAATAGTCATGTCCTATGAGAATGTTATAATGAAGCCCATTATTCTGTACAATTAATACACTAATAAAGTCATCATTAATATTTCCTACTGTATAACAGACAATATGTAGATGCATGATTATATCAATTTATTTCAATACTACAATGTTAGATACTGATGTTATTTCTAATTTCTAGGTAGTACACTTTTTTTCAAACTACTGATTTATGAAACAATTTGTATTTCATTGTTGTTCAAGCTTTATAAGTCTAAGCTGCAAAAATACTACATGACTATTTATCTTTCTTCTTTATTTTCTTTTGACCTATTAAGAACTTTTTACATGGTAGAGTATGCCTGGAATACAAGATTCACAGGAGGAAGAGATAAGAGGATTATAGTTTGAAATCAGCTAGAG